TACTTTATTGTGGTGAGCAAGAAGGGATAAAAAATAATAAAGAGATTCAGCAGGTGGACACTAGCTAGTCCGATATCAGGTGAGATGCTAGTATATGAACATGCACATTATAGACGCTTTGTTTCTGGAAAGTAAAATATGCGTATATATGCAATAGTGCTCAAATAAGCAAAAGTACGATTTGCAAAATTTTATCAATGTGGGAGAAAGAACAGTTTCAATAGGAAGAATTGATACCTTAGATAGTTTAGACGATTCAAATTTAAAAATCTTAAATGATAGGCTTATAAAAGAATAATAACGCTGTTAACATGAAACAGCCACTACTTTACTAATACTTTAGTGAATCTTTTCTTTTCGTGTATCTATTTCCTTAAGATTGATACATACACGCCCTTAAATTACTCGTGCGTCAATACTTGTATTTTTGTCATTACCTTGGCAATCGTTGTTGGTAAAATAATGACTGGGAAGACAATTATCACAGCGAATACCCGTATAATTAGCTCTACATTGGCATTGTCCACTAGTATCACAAGCAGAACTTATAGAACCATCCACATCGCAAAGGCAATCAATACATTGGCCAAAATACATAAAAGTATTAGTCTAAATATGAGAAAAAGAACAAACATAATCAAAGGGATAGCCATTTTTAGTTATGAAATCATTTTAGTATCCTATATTGAATCTATGATAATTGTTATCCATCGCTACACATAAGTAATACTTTATTGCCGTAGCTATATACTAATTGATAGCTCTGAGAAATGAAATAAGATAAATTACGAGGTAAAATATCGAAAAATGATAGGATTAACTATTTCATGGATGTACTTAACCATGCTATGCTTTTATAATGTGCTCTGCAGATAGAAATCACGCACAATGCCCTGTCTGAGTAAACTTACAATGCAGCTATCACATTTATATCCCGTATAATTTGGTTTGCAAGTACATCTGCCACTGCTATTACATTGGTGAGATAATGAACCTGTTTGGCTGCAACTGCACTCTACGAAGTAGATTAAATGAGAGAATTTAAAGCATCGAACAAGAAAATTTGTATTAGCAATATCTAAAAAATTTGTCGTTAACATGTATTTATATTTCGTTACAGTTATTTTGTTACTCGTATATCCATGCCGCAGATTTTTAAAACAAACTTACGGCGGCAATTCTTAGCTACAATTGCATCACCAAAGTAACCGTCAGCGCAAATTTGGCATTGATCACCAGCTGTATTCCGAATACATTTTAAACATTGGCCAGTCGTTCTATTGCAGTTACCAGCTTGTGTTAGATCGATATTCCCGTTGCACTCACATGGTTTACATATGTCACCAGCACTCCTTGGATTACCAAAATAGCCATCCGCACATCTGTATTTGTTACGTATATTAAAAAATAGTCCCTTAGTTTACAGTAAGATGCAGCGATCAATGGTATCAGGATATAAGATTATGAATGGATTTGCATACGTATGTTATCCATTTATTACGCAATGGCCCAGACCCTTTAATCATAACATTATTTTTGGTAGATAATTAACTTACTGGGATTAACTGATAGCAATTCTATGTCTATTTTCATTTAGACTAGTATAGATTTGCGTGATTTTAAATGTTGTTTGTAATGAGTTTACAAAGCTAAGCTATGCTATCTGGTTATATTTAAAAGGAGAAATATACAATTTTCTGACTGTAGCTTCCTGGCGATAAGTACTATAGTTCATCAGCACACTGAGCTCAGTGTGCAAGCATTTGATTAGAAACTTGTGTAAACAGTGATTGCTATCTCTGTTTAAAGATTTCGGATGTAACACTGATTTAATTTAATATCAAGGTCATTTCATTACGGTAAAAGGGTCTTACCTTTCACAGTATTTGCCTAGATATTGTTGCGAGCAATTTAGACAAGTATATGAGCCCATCCCATCTGATTGACAGGTGGGGCTAAAGCTAAAAAAAATGAAAAGTATGTCATACAATGTCTATAAAATATTAATTTATGGTATCAGAACTTAAATTCAGTTGTAATTAATGTTATTATACAGTATTTTATAGCAAGTATCATACTGCATATATTATTACGCCTGATGTTTAGTAAATGTTCACACATATTTGTATTCATATTTATACTACAGAAAATAACTAGTTAACTAGATTAATAATCCAAAAGATCGGCGTACTTGTTTGCTGACACTAAGGGACAAGCACACGGAGTACAATCGTTTACGTTGCCCTGCTTAGCATTTCCATAAAAGCCTACTTTACACTGATCGCAAAATCTTCCATCTGTATTATGTTGACAATTCTATAATATATCAAAATTTAATATGAATGTGACAGGTATGAAAGGTTGAGTTATGAAAGACAAGATAAACTCATGATACATTAACTTTTATTCTCTATGGTAAGGGAATTATATATAAAGCATACCTGGCACACGCCTGTTTCAGAATCACAAACGCCGGAATGTCCATTACATTGGCATAATATGCAAGTTCCATTGCTAGCTCTTTTGTAACCTGCACCACATTTTTCACAAGACGTACCGGCATAACCAATAGGGCAATTGCATACTTCAATAATAGGTGCAGCAGCTCCTACGGTATTATTAGCTACTGCAACATCGATTCGGATATTACTGAGACTGTATGAGACGTGAGATCGATAAATCGTTAGTATTCTTAAGGAAACGTAAACAAGGAACTGATCTGAGATTTTACAGGAATACCAGTTTCAAACAATAATTACAGGGAAACTGAAATTACAGCTTACTCTGCTGTAGACTGGTCTACTCCAAAACGAGCTCTTATTAATACAGATGATAATCTGGCCAAAATTCTCATAAATTCAGATCTTGTCACAAGTTTATTACTAGGACTAATTCTCCATCCATCTTCTCGCAATGTAACAGCTTGATTCACTGTTACATGATTTAGTGTATTTGGTAAACTTCTGTATATTATTGTGTTATCGTCACCACCCTAATCGTAAGACCATAATATTATTAAAATTACAGAATCAGTAAAAAGAAATCAATTTGTCGAAGTTATTTATTTCGACAAATTGATTCCATTTTATTGATTCTATGATCATATGTTAAAAAAGGACTTTTACAAATATTTTTCATACAGTAAAGATAAGATCCTGATCGGTCGACATGGTACTGGAAGTTTGGCTATCATATTGAATATCAAATCGAAGAAATCCTCCATAAGACGTGATCTGATTCCGTTGGAATAAGATAAAATTTAGTTACAACAACTTTGTTGAAATTATAAAGTCATAACACCTCGTCATTGCTTTCAGTAGATTATTTTAATGCAATGATTGCAGAAAGTGATACCTTATTTCTTAAGAAAACTTCTGGCACTTTCCAATAATAAATTTGACGTTGTAATTGGCTACTCAGTTGATTGTGATTTATTCTGATTCTAGGTGGTCCTGTCGTGACATTCACGCCCGAAGTAGCAGGTAAGGCGTTAAGATTATCAATAACTATCCAATCCGCTGAGATTGGCCATGGTTGCTATTAAACGTGCATTGTGATCATTGTGTTAGTTTATTTACCATTAGATTATTAAAGTATAATTATAGCAAATAACTGAAAATAATTTCTTACAACAGTCCAGTTATAATTTGATGAGGTACAAGCAGAAGCAAAGCCAGAGCAGTAGCAAGGTGTACAACCAGCAACGGAATTGGAATTAAAGTAATATGTTGTAGCTTTACATCGATTACATTGCAATCCTTCAACGTTGGCCTTAAAAGGAAAAATTAATTTTTACAATTAAAATCCAGGGTACAAGTTTAATGTAACAGAATCAAATATCCCCCTAGAATTGATCAAATATAAGAACATGCGACATTAACTAACTTTGCATTGACATTGGCCTGTGGTATCATGGCAATCACATGTCTGGCTACCAGTACCATTGGTTCGACATGATGATGTTGATACTCCAAACGGATTACATTGGCAACTTTTACAGCTTGGATATCCATACATGCCAAAAATACATTGATTACATCGTCGACCGGCGTAATTTCCTTTACAACTAAAGAGTAGGGGAATGATTATAATGAAATTAAGTGTCATCGCAAAAAAAACGTGTATCTCACAATCATTTGTTGATCAGAATTATATCCGAAGTGGAAGCGTGAAATTTGCTTTACCTGCATTGTCCGCTGCTATAATTACATTGTAGCGAATGAGAACCAAAAGGCGAACAATTGCATAACTAGAAATTATAACATGTCATAAAATGATTTAAACAATACAACAAAACTTTATTAAGACATTAATTGACCATTTACATCGATAATTGTAATTGTACATTAAATTAGTTATTCCAGTCTATTTATGTTACAAATTGATTTAGATACGTGTTAACTAAGTAAGCTAATCTTTTGTTAGTGTTCTGGATAACATGTATCATGTCCTTAGACTTTCAAACTATTCTAATCATTTTGACTGCACTTGTTATATCAAGTTGTTTATCCTTAATAACTTGAAAGCGATTATGCCAAGACTTAACAGGTTTTAATGTAGTACCACCATAACTACAATTATATGCTTTGCTCGGCTTGCCCTCCCAGTGTCTCTATTAGCGCAAGGCTGCTACAATTATTTTTTAATTCTGTTCAACTTCAAAACTATTAAGTGTCAAAATTGGAGTAGATACAGTCATTGTAGTTGTAGCCCTTACTCGAAAAATAAGTTTCACCGTAGATTTGCATAAGCAACTATGTATATCAAACAGGTACTAACGCAAATAGATATGTATAGTTAGCATTTCGCTCTTAATACAGCCGAGATTGTCAGCTTTAGGCTCGCACATTTACGTGCAGTTACTGATATGTAATCAATAGTTTTTAGCAGAAGTGTAAAATCAAATATTTAGGGCGTTTTCCATACTCCGAGAAAGATCTCGTATGAGTCAGCTAGTTACGGCCCATAATTTAAAAACTCATTTAAAATTTACGTAAACATCAAATGAAAGAATGGCATGTAAACCAGACTATCACTTTGGTATTGGTTACCTGGCAACCTTCCAATGGATCGTAGCCGTAGGCTTGTGGAGCACAAGTATCACAATATTTTCCTTCAACATGTGGTGGACAGTCACAGTTTCCAGTCGAAGCGTCGCATGCACCTCCGGTTTTTGAGCAATTACAAGGCGCACAACCATCTTTTGTAAAGTTCCAGTAGCCTCTAGCGCATCTACATATAAAGCGGATTCAATTTAATATTGTATTACAATGATTGATGGATAACATGCCTAAAAGGAAAGCTTATACACAATACTGATCAATGTTAGTCATAATATCATAAATTAAAGAAAATATGTTACCTGCTGCAATCCCGTCCTCCGATGCCAGGCTTACATGGACATTGACCAGAACTGGTATCGCAACTTGATAAAGGGCTAACCGAGCCCACTGGATGACAATCGCAACTTTTGCAACTTGAGTTACTTTCTAGTCCATAATAGCCAACCTATATAAAATTAAATCCTTTACTTAATAAGATATTACAGGAAACAGGTTATAGAGAAAAAAAATTGAACCTATGGAAGATTCTAATAACAGTTCTATGATGTGTTTACAAATAAGTATTGAACACCTATGGTGCTTCTTAATACGGTATAAAAATATAGATGCATTAAATGTATAGACAAGAACTACAATATAGTTGTAATGATATTTATAAGTCTTTTTGCCTATAAAGTCCGATATCTATTACAAAATAAAAGTGTCGCTCAAATCGATCATTAAGCCAGGAATAAAACTGACTACAGGGTGATTTTCATGATAATGAAACCAAAGCCTTTCATAGATACCTACATACATATTCGACGCCTACTGCATATTTTAATGACGGCGTCCCAGTTGCTACATCATTAAAGTACAGGAACGCCAGCTACAGGATAATTTTAAAGAATAATAATAACTGTAAACTTTATGCTTACGTACTCGACACTTATCGCACGTTCGTCCAATAACAAATGGCTTACAAGGACATTCTCCGTTATTTTTGTCACATGCTTGGCTTCTGGATCCGAACTGATTACATCCACATGCTTATGTAATATAAATTGCAATTTATTTAGACTATATGTGATTAACTGGTAATGATTGAAATTGTTACAGCAAATAGCCGAAACTCATCGTCAAATAAAATTGAAAATTTCAACTAAATTATAAAGCCATTTAAAATCATGAAAAATAAATGATAAAAAAGTCAATGTTGTAGAATGAGTTTCAAGGAGCTTCCATAACATGTGCTTACCTCTGCAGTTTTTTAAAGTGACTGCATCACCATAATAATCATCAGCACATACTTGACATTGATCTCCTGTTGTATTGCCTTGGCATTTTAAGCAAACACCAGTTGTTGTATTACAATTTCCTTGTAGCGAAAGGTTGATATTACCACTACAATTACAAGGTCGGCAAGTTTGATTAATTTCTTTAGGATTGCCATAGTAGCCATCAGAACAACTCTGACAAGTTTGTCCAGTATAACCAGTTGAACAGTTAGTACAAAGTAAATTAACGCCATCAGCTAGTAATTGACATGTTGGACTAAAGTTATTGCTGGCCACAGATAAAGGACACGCACATTGTTTACAATCATTAGGCGTTCCATACGTAGCATTGCCATAATAACCTTATAAATGATCATTTAATTAAAAAACACTTTGAATTAAGATAATAAGATTATTACCTTTAATCAAGTCGCTTACCTAATTGGCATTGTCCACAGTCACTACCTTGGGTGTTATGTTGACAGTTATAACAGATACCAGTAATATCGTCGCAGGAATCAGTATGATTGTTACATTTGCATGGTATACATTTGCCATTTAATTGACCATTTTCGCGACGATATCCAGTTGTACATCTCTATTGAAGACAAGTAATATGATATAAAACGAAAGCGATAGTACAATTGCATCTAATTTTATATTGTAATAATCATGATTAAAGTCGATGATATGCCATCCAGTAATTTAAACGTAAAAAATTCGGTGTTACTTTAAAATATTGATTTGATTTACTTCACATGATAATCCAGCGTATCCAGTAGGACACTGGCATTTTTCTACTTTAACTGTGCCATCTGAACTGTAAGTCCCTTCAATTCCTTTCGTCAGAGTGATATTACTAACGTAGGAATTTCTTTGATTAGAAATAAAACTTAGACGGATAAATACTCCTGTTACATGATTCAATGTCATCATAAATTGTTCACGAGTTACTGGATTGCCAGTGCTGTTGTGGGTCCATTCAGTCTATTGATTTTGTATACAGCAAAAGCAATATTATATATTGATTGATAATAATAATATGTACCCATTAAAAAGAGAATAGAAATAGTTATTAATTCATAGATATTGATACATGGTATCTGAATCATTAATTTTCGTCTTAAATCAGTTGTTACCTCTAATAGTCGTGCTTGAACTTCTCCTAGAACATCGAATTTTAAAGGTTGTGCTTGATTCCTCAATCTCATGCCATTACTACCAATAATAACTATTTCTGGTCGAAATTCTCGAGTTACTGTCAATGTGGTAACGTACTGTAATGTATATCGAAAATTTTCACCATACGATGTCAACTAAGATTTAAAAATAGCCAGAAAAATAGTTAAATTAAGAGAGTATAAGCTATGGTGCATTGCAACGCTGGTAGTTTAGTGGGTATTTTATAATAAATAAATGTTAAATATTTACAATAAATTAAATATTATTAATTAATTATATGTCACAATCAATCTTATTAGAAGTACCAAATTTCCGGTATATTCATTAGGAGCTTGCCAGTGGAATGTGTCAGCTCCATCAGTAAGGTTATAGTTAAGTCTATTATGCTGTACTATTACTGAAAAAGAATTTTGATTTCTGACATCATAAACTTTCCAGCCGCTTAGAGAGCTGACCTGTAGTAATTATGAAAGAGGAAATAATTAGTATCGTCATCATATCCTTAGCTTATGGTGTCACGTTGGCCATCTAATGTAGCTGCTATATAAATAAAATTATTTTACCTGTTTCTTAACTAAATTTGAACTACTACAAGTTGATGTCAAGTTGAAGCAATAGCATTTTGTACACCCGACAGGATCATTATTATCCAATCCATATGTACCCGGTTTACATTGACGACAACCACTTCCTTGAACATTAGGCTATACAATTGATCAAGTTATAGTATGGTAAGAATTGAAAATATTCAATATTAACGATAAATAATACCTTGCATTGGCAATTAGTACTTTGACAAGTGGAATTAACACTGCCGAATGGATTACATCGACAAGGGCTACATATCGGAAAACCATCAAACCCGATAGCGCATCGATCACATTTGCTTCCTGTGACATATTGCTTACAGAAACAGTCTCCAGAGTTCTATTTATATATAACATGAGAATTTAAAACATATAGTATATGACTACCTAGAGCTATAGGATGCTCACTTAAAAGTAAATCTATTGCAGGGATAATACAACATGGAATAATAAATATCAGTAATGTTGGATTTAAATAAGACTATAAAGCGTTATTAATAGAGAGATTGAATTAAAGTATTGGTATTTTTTGGATAGCTAAATCGATAAAAAAGAAATCGACTTACCATTTGTGGATAACTACGAGCTTCTTCTTCATCTCTTATACAAGATCCAGTTGGTCTTCCTGGTTCATCACGTATTCCAGCTGCATTGCATCCACATGCTTGGCATGCATCTATGGCACTGCGTGAAACACCAGTTGGTCGATAATAGAGATATTTACATCGTTGGCAATTTATGCCTTCAGTATTATGCTGGCAATTTTGACAGATTCCACCACCTTGATAATTACCATGAATATCTAAACTTTGATTTTGATCCGCTATCGTCTGATTATATAGACACTGATTGGTATGATTGAAGCATTGACAAGCTGGATTTTTAAAATAAGAATAAAAGGTTTAATCGATTCCTATAATTCAGTCTCAAAGCTACGATAAAATTATTTTCTGGATGCTGATAATAAATCATTCTAAATAATTGTTTGTATTTTAATCGTGATAGATTCAAAAATGAGTGTAAATAACAGTTGATTATACTAACGTTCACAAGCATTGGATGAATTTTCAGCAGCTGGTTTCCATGACTTTTGAATAAATGAGTCACAACATCTATCACAAGATGGTCCACAAGTATTACGCTCGCATAAGCAACTATAGCTGTCGGTTGTGCTGCTATATTCGCATCGTCTAGCATGTCCATTACACATGCATTCCCCGCTTACTGTAATTCCTTTGATAGAGTAGAAATACTAATAGCAAGATAATGATATCAACGAAGAAATTAGTAATTGCTAAAACTTGTCCTAAATATTTGTCAATATCATAATACTGGTAGCATTTTACCCTATCAGTAACTGAGGCATCTTGTATTTCAGGGCTCTGAATATCACCTCCTAGGGTACGTATTTGCAACAATCTTAATCGTACATATCGGGCAGATAGAAAATTCTATAATGAAGCAATAGGCATTCGATATTAAAAATAAAATGCATATGGGAACAAAATTATGGTTATGTGTAATCGACAAGATCTAAACTAATACGGAAAGATAATTTCTTTCCTTATTGTTGACATTGTGAATATTACCCTTAATTCTTCAGTATAACCACTAATTCTAGAGCCAGGTCTCCCAGTTAAAAATTGAGCGATTACCTAGTCAAGTAGAATCCTATCGTTTAAAAATGGAATCTAAAAATGCATCCTGCAATCTTAGTGGGATTAATATTATGCCTAGTTACAAGCTAAGATAGATATTGTTGATATCCTATAAATAAATTTAGTAAAGCTTAACATCTTAAATATAATTTAAAGGTAGAAATAATTTAAAATAATAAGTGCAGGAAAGAAATTGATAGCACTATACATTACCTGAGCATTTTGAAATTGATTAGCAACGATGCCGGTAGTAACGCATATAACTTGGCTATCGCTGGAAAATATACCATCTGGATTAGTTTCAGTCTTAAATTGATCGTAGCACTCTGATTCAGATTGTGCGTAATATTGCCAAGCAGTAAAACTTCGCCCATCTAAAGAGCGTTCAAGGACCCATCGAGCAGGTGCAGGAGAATTAGCGGTAGCCAAAATAATGTAGGTTACCCTAAAAATCTAAGTAAATCAATCATTGCTCATTAATACAATATTATACATAGCGGTACATAATACAGTATAAGATTGATGAAATCATAATTATACGGGTACAGTAAGCATTCTTTAATTGTATCCTTAATGTGTGTTGCTATGGATATCATAGGTAATTGGGATAGTTATTGATGTTATTCGTTGTTAATTAAAGATACTTACGCACATGCACTGTAAACTAAGATCGAAATGAGGACTGATGTCAGTAATTGACTAAATTAACTCTTTAACAAAATGCAAGCATTACTAATTGTCAACTTCGATAGTATGGTCGCGTACATTCATATAGACATATATCCATATAGAACGTGCAGTACGTGTATGATGATGAAAATGTGAGGCAATAAAGTGTTCTAACAACTTCGACATTAGTTTTTTTTAGGCCTAATACAAGTATGCACAACGATACTGTTGTTATCATAGACTTCATGTACTGGATTTTCAGTCTATTGCTACGATGCATTATATTCAGTAAATTTTTTGAACGACTATATCATCTTATTCAGTTACATTATAACTATCTGAATATCAAACTGGGTAAAGACTTTTAGTCTAATGGTATGATGATGATTAGTCAAGAAATTTGCTATTTTTTTTAGCTAGATTGCAGTTTAAATCGAACGTTCATCATTAATAATCGTTAGTATAAGAAAAAATAGCCCGGGCATGATTGATTTGTATAACGCGTTTATCGAATAAATCAAATATTGTGATTTATCATTTATTTAATTAAAGCGTTGATCGTATATCCAAATTTCTTGAGAGCATATAGACTTGAGTAGAATAAGGAAAATAGAAGAAGGTGGAATTTTTGAAAGACACTGTAGTTCAGGCTAACTTACCTGTTTAAGATCTAAAGTGATGGTTACGTTATTATAGTCGAAACCATTTGTTAACGTTGGAGATTGCCACCATTTTTCTGTTCCGTCGATAGCATATCCTATTGGATGGCGTTGATTGCTTGGAGCATTAGCAGTATTATCGCAAGTTGAACAACTATCTGGCCGATCCAGTAGGCAAAAATTTTCCGGCCTATTAGTACCACATGTTGCGCTAGCAGCTATAGAAGAAGACGGTGCTAAATCGCGAACGCTTGCATCTAAAATTTGTCCTTGTACTAACGACGCTGTTAAAGTTACTACTAAAATGATTGAAGAGATAAACTGATCTACGGCTTTCATATTCTCTGATAGATGGACTTGTCTCTTATCGATAATCAATCGATAATCTAATAAAGGATAAAGGGAGAAATCTGGTAATTTTTTCCTTTTTCTCTTATCTTATTTCTAGTTGCTCTCTCCTCGATTGCTATCTTCCGTGAAAATTCAATGACACCTAGTATGCCCCCTCTGTGGCCTAGAACTTTAATCTAGCTAAAAGCAGTTGCGAAATTGGTAAATTTATATAGAATATGATTATTGAGAAGTTAAAAATATGCTTGAAATTTTACTTTATTATGCAAATTTATTGAAAATGGATTGTTTACCTGATTCTTTCCACGTACGAAGTACATTAAGCATTTGACAACGAATCAGACCACCGCAATGTTATTAAATAAATAATCAAAATCTAATTGGAGCTTGATCATGACTCTGCTTTCAAATGCTTTCTTTACTCGTAATCTATCACCCTCCATGACACTGTATGAATTCGCTCACCTGTCTATTAGCACTATAAGTAATCAAAAATAATTCGACTCCAACTGTCTACCAATGATTTCAAGAATGCAAATACTGTATAATAATCAATTTGCTCCCACCCCTAGACTACTCTACTGTAAGAATAGACTAACTAACTACATCGATTGTACATCGAATAAATAATTCATACCCGGCATGAACTAATAGAAGGTATAATTGCCAGTAGTCCATGTACTGTGCCTTAGTCTACCATCGATCAATCTTTCTCGAGTTCATCTACCCTATAAATTCATGATACCTTATGTGATTACATTAAGAATTTTACTTCAGATCAGCCTATGCGCTTTTTTTATTATTTGCTCAGGCACGATAAGAGAAAAAATTCATGTTAGAAAATTCTGATAGCATCTAGTAAGAAAGGGCAATCGATCTACCCAATTTGATGTTATTACTGATTTAGAACAAGAAGCTTCATATTCATTCTGATAAGTTCTTCTAGTTACGGTGAAATAATTTCTATTTTGTAGCACTACTCGCTAATGTTTTGTATAAAAAGGCAATGGTACATTGTAGAGAAAAACTTAGCTGTTCTATTCAAATCATGCAACATTTTTATTGACTAAATCAGCGAGATAGAGTCAGTTGAAATCAAATCAAATCAAGGTACAGCAAGACCATTTACGACAGTATTAAAATCATAATCATTCTGTTTTCCATTTTTACCACAACAGAACTCAACTAGGATGAAATAAAAATGGCCCTACTGGATAAACGATCGGTCAAAGTACTCTAGCGGCTTTGTAGGAATGATTATGGCACCGTAGGGTCGTCGAAAATAGGCCCCAAGTGACGTTTTGAAATAATTATATATGCACAGGTATAATTAATTAGCTGCGTTGATATTCCATTGAGTCCAGAGCATTGAACATTCTATCTACCAAGTATGATTCGGCGGCTAACATGTAGCGCTTGCATGCACATGCTTGACGGATATTCCTGCTTAATAGTCACTAGAATATTGATACAGTAAGTATACTATCCCAAATTTGTACCAATTTTAAAATTTTTTTCTTGATGCATATGAATTACTACATGGAACTAGGACATAGTTGCAGTCGACTACTAAATCAACGTACTTGTACTCAAGGTACATCATCAAGCAGTGCGCAAAATAAATTCCTCCAACATGGACTACTGTATCATTTCAAATAAACATCGCAGAGAAGCTTAATGATAACGCCATCAATCGTTTGAATAGCTAACACTAATAACTAATGATCTGACGATAAATCCGGTGATCTATTTCGATTCAAGTGAGCGCGCTGTTCCTCTTCTGTACTGTACATAGTAATCTACATACGCACTAGGCATTAGTGCCTTGCAAAATAGGACGCATAGCACGTACACTAAACTAGCTCTAGCCATTTTGCATAAAATACTTTACACACTTGATTTAAGTTGTCCTCCTGATCCATTTTTAGATATATCCATATATGTCTAATGTATCATTAATAAGACAGCTATAATTAAGAAACGAAGTATATAAGTTAATTTACGCAAAATGGCTATATCGGAGTGAATAAGAAGAAAGCTGCAAAAAGCACGACTGTATAGTACAGTACATTAGACCATCCAAACATATTAAAATGATTTCTAATCTTGACTTTCTCTAATCGACAACATTTTAAAAATATATAATATAATCTATTACCGTTGTATACTGGTCGGAGTATCAGCCGATGTTTTTATTTAGTACTACTGCAAACTCCCGTCGCTTTGCTGACGGTTTACGATAATGTGCTCATTTAACAGATAGTATTACCATTTGATAGACCTGTCAGAGGTTCAGTAACTTTTTACCGTGTACTCGGAGAGCTCCGAGAGTTTTTTTTTAGTATATGGGAAATTTTTTTACTTAGTGGCTTTAGAGGGGGAGGGGGAGCTCTTAATTAATTAATTGAGTAGTCCCTGGGAGAGCTCCGAGAGGGGTAAGCAAAGGTTGGATATTATTCAAATGGTCCATTTTTGTCATTTCCAGATGGGTGTCCGGCCGTCCGTTTTTCAAGTGGCAGACATGGTCACTTAGTCAGTCTGTACTGTACAGTGTACAGTACCAGTCGATTACTCAACAGTACTGTACACTGTAGACTAGCCAATCTGTAAACAAACAACTCCAAATTGTAGTAGTAGCAGCAGTCCATCATCGTCAACAATTTTTTTCCTTTTAAAGTAGATCGCGGAAGAGCATTTTTGGATAGTCTATTTTTCTTGACTTCTTGACAGATTTCATTGACAAAATTGGTAAAGACAAGCATGGCTTATGTTGGTGGTGCATGGCGTACATCAGGTTATGTTTGGCGAAAAACGGAGAACGGTTGGAAAACAGTCGATGCTACTCGTGTGACGATGACGTAAGTACTGTCGATCACAGAAAGATCCAAGATGGATTTACTCTCGACTCTATTTTCATCCACTATCTTCATCGTTTTCATCACAAATAGAGGATTTAGAAAAATGAAAAGTACTCTGTTCTGTTGTTCTTACGATAGAGTTGTATTGGTACTTTAAACGATGAAACCCAATAAATAATAATATTACTTTACTATGCCGTGTTATTGCGCCAAATGAATCAATGGATTCGTTCTCCAAAGTAAGATAGTCAATCCATTCAGTCATGGTCCGACTCATGGACGAATAGAAATAGACTTGACTTTCTGTCCATTCTACAGAACAGAATCTATTTCCCTAGATACTATATGGGTATTTTTAATGCTAGAAATGAAAAAGAAATGATGGAACGTGAATGAATTGAATAGAGCGATCCATTATTTCCATACCAAGTTCCGATGGATCGCTCGCTATCTTACCGTCTTCGTAATATTATTATCATTTTTTAGCGATTGTTCACTTGAAATCGAATCGTAATTATCGCCCTACTGTAATACTATAGAATGGATCATTTCAAAGGGAAGTATACACACCGAATGAGTAATTCACATACGATTAAGAATGACTAAAAGGGATAAAACAACCTTGAACACTTCATTAAGAAATTGGACAGAAATAACATTATATAATACAATACAGCGTATTGATACATTCATAATAACGCATCCATACTACAGTATATAGTGTACTGTATAGTTTCTTCTATCCAATGAAGTACACTGCATACTATATAGAAGAGACAGCATTAAAAGTCAATCCAACTGATTACTTTGAGGCTTTCTCGTTCAACATTGTAACTAGTAAATTAACTTCTATTCATAATTGAAAGTTGTACACCATGCTAAATATGAATTTTAAACGATAAGGCATATGGACTACTATCGCGGTAAATTAAACTAATACTTACTAGCCGACAGTAGTAACGACCGCTGTCGTTAGAACTTGAAAAGACCACTCTACTCCCTCTAATAGAGTACTGTACATTCATCTTAATCACGAAATAATAATAAACCAATTAAAAGAGAATGACAGGGTGGTTTCGTCAAGAGGATACTTATATGGATCGTCATAGATTGTCCTTAATGATAATGCATTATCCAAAAAAGTACATTCCTATCTCACCCATAATTCAATTAAACTAGATTAAATTTAATTCAATTCTGATAAACGTAATTCGTGTTTGCAATACAGGACTAAGTAACTTGGCTTTCAGTAGATAATTACAATCAATACAGCGCTATATATCCAACGATGAGAATAGCACAGACAGACATATTATGTCTCATCGATCATGATTTAGGATCATGAATAATAATGTTACGATAACAGATGATAACGGATTAATAGCACCGACTGTAAAAAAATTGTACTGACAATGCTACTTATAGTATACCAATATTCATTGATAAAATTATCATCAATTTAATACAATTAAACGATGATCATATAAGATTGCTATTCATTGTCTACAACTCTTCCATACTGCTGTAAACGATATTCATATCTTTGCAAATATACGCGTATATTAAGAATGAATGATAATATACCCAGCTCGCGAAATCGGCCTCCTAGTATGTTATATCGTCGAACCCATAATCTAAAATAGTCCAAAGATTTCTTGTACTGTTTCTCTATCAATTTATTAATAGTGACTATCATACGATTATTCTAATGGCACAATGCAGTATTTGCTAAATTATATACTGATTCTTATAGCATCTCAGCAATAATATTTAGTTATAATACATACAGTACAATCACTTATTAATACTTTATTCAGTACAATACGCGTATCATATATCGTTTTTACAATAGTTCTAATCGAGATTTCACGTATACAGTAACTACAATTTTATGTCTGCCACAACTAGTGTTATAGCATTGATATCTTCTATCGTACGAGAAAGATTCTGTTTATTATCAATACTTTGTTATATAATTAGCGAATAGAACATCTATAACCGATTATAATGTTCAATCTTCTATCGACGGTCTCAGACCTCGCAATAATTAAGATATCTGCTAAAATTAATCGTAAAAAGTACGCCTAAATCTGAATTATTGATCCTTTTATTAGCGTACTATCAATCGCATTAGTGAAAAGCTAATCAATATGTAAGATAGAAATTTCCATTCTGGTATGATGGATTTAACAAGTACCACAAGCTTACGTTACGTTATCATAGTATTCGTATTTTTGTTGAATATTGATAGTGGTAAAACACATCATTATCTTCTTGCTCATCAAAGATATATCACGTGCTAAAATCTACGTATCATTATGCATTATTCTATGTTATACAGAAACCCGAAAGAACAACCATCTTTACCAGCAAAAACTGGAAAGAATGAAAGTGATGGTAGGAATCCCAGTAATCTAATTATTTGATACATACCGAATAATAACTACAATTTTTTTCTTAATGATATCTTTTTTCAAAGTAAATCAGCCCACCCGTTACATTTCAATTTTCAGAAATAGCCGAGAGGTTAGCAATAGCGCAGTAAGAATCATAAAATCGTGATCGCCATAGCTTAATATGCACGAGTTATACAGACTGATATGATAGCACAGTAATTGTAGTTCTGTAAGGAAATACAGGATAACAAATATACTCTTAAAATTCTAATTTCATAATAAGTAATTTAGGATAAAAGAAATGAGACTTGGCATTGCTTGATTCTCTCTTCCTTATTTTAATCATAGCTCTCTTATTATCGTTCGCTTGGTGATGTCATGGACAAGTTAGATTTAAATGGAGCATTGCACGATTATAGTCGATTTCTATACGTCTGTAAAGTAAGTAAAATTAAACGTAAAATTTTCAACTCTTGAGTTAAAAATGAAGTGATTCATTTCCTCGCGTGTATAATTAGTAACTTATCAAGCATTAGATATACCACAGAGATTATAACTCAACTATTTAAATTCGATCTAATTCAACTATTACCGCTTACGCCTTGTATTCTAGAACAACCTATACTTTAATATTTGTTTTGCACAGTTGCTCTCTGCTTATTGTGGTAATTTGTTAGAGTTTAAATAATATATCAGATGAATACATTATGGCAAATATTTCGCTTAGAATCTTTCCTACAACTTCTTACTATAAAGCTATGCTTAGGTTACTACTTACATATAATCACTATGGGAATTACTTAGTACTATAGCTACCGTATTAAAACTACTGTACTGTGTTGAATTTATTAATCAAATCTCTATTTCGCAACATCACTATATAATGCTAAAATTATAAAGTTTAATTGATATTTACATATTCCAGTATCAATAATTTTAAAAACTAATTGCAATTCTGCTTATTTTTGATTACTCGATGATTCAAAACCAATTAATTGTACCGCAAGATTATCCAAGAAATTGTCGAACATAAACTATTATCGCTTGGAAGTTCATCTCTGACATATCTGTATAATTTGATTGATAACGCAGTAAAATTAGGTATATATTTTATAAGCAACGATAATAGAATTGTGCAATCACCTATGCCTTAAATAATAACGATAGTAATTTCCACATCAATATAGCTTTACAGTGGCACGCTTTCAGGTTGCATGTCAGGCGGTTAATAAATATCACGGTGAAGATAATTGAGAAAGGTATACTTACCAGAGATTCGGGATATTATATAAAGTAACAATAAGTTTATACATCTATTTCACTAACTGAAAGGTATCACATTTCTTCTTTTTATAAATAATCTTATCTCAGAATACTATCACTTAATTGGCAGTTTAACTGTTTGGAAAGATAGATTAAAACATCTCCGACAATGTGAACTAAAGCTAACTAATGATGGGGTAATCATCCTAAATATTTAGTTATACTGGTTGTTTTTGATTTACTTATTGCTTATTACAAAAAATATCTTAGGTTAACATTTCTTCGGAAAATGATCATTTGCAATTGATGGATATTCCTGACGATTGTCTTCAATACATTATACTATTTCTCTCTGATCACCGAGACATAATATCACTATCGGGTGTGAATAAGTAGGTTACCAAATTTGTCAATTACTTAAAACTTGGCCCAATTCCAGTTTATCGTTAGTGCACTAAATAAGAAATGATTTTCGTTATAAATCATTTTAAAAAATCAGGCGATTGAATTATTTCACTAATGAATCGTACACTTGGAGAAAGCTTTGTCAGTATCACTTCAGGAAAGAAGAGGTAATTACACGTACTTCAGCAGTTATTATATGGCATTTCTAAATTAAACATATCATTATATTTACCATTCGGCTATGAAAGGATTTTTTATCATGAATATATAAGCGCTTTGTAACATTGCGTACTATTAACCAGTATAATATTTCACTTACGTAGATTGAAAAGTATTCCGAAAAGGATTACGATTGGAAAAGTATTTTTAAGATCTTGTATAAGTAGGTTATTCTATTTATTTAAAATATCTCGCTAAGAGGTATTTGTGAGATAGCCTTACGCGCTGTACTGCTGTTAAATTTTTCCTGATTAATTTCAGCTTTACTTATTCTCATTTCAACTCATCACAGAAAATATGGAATTCGACAAGACTCAGAATGCAAACCTTTATATCTCTGTGATCAATGTGGATTTGTTTATTGGCAGGTTAGTTAGACATGATATATTCTTAGCCTCATTATGTTAATATTTGCCACTTTAATGAGTCGGCACCATGCGAAATTTTTGATAACGTAATAGGCTAAAGTTGGATTACCGTTTCCTGTACAATCAATCACTTCCCCTAGATACCTTGTTAGCATTGTATTGGGATATTAGCAATCAAAAATTAATTTATATTCACTGTCTCTTAATTTTAATCTAGAAATATGGACACCCTTGCTCATCTATAATCGATTTCGCCGGTGCTTGCACGCCTCTTACAGCAAGGAAACTAATAAGTCTATTTTCTACATAATTAAAATTATTCGATACAATTCTAAATTGTTTTCATTACTCGTTTACATCCCATATCAATTTTTAAAATCTCGAATTTAAAACATTTATTGTTACTATTAATTTCTTCACGGAAAAAGTCATTTTTATGTGTTTTGCAAGAAATTCTCTCACTATTATCCGAATATATGCCATGCCCATTATTATAAACTATCGAATTCGAAACATTTATTACAATTAGTCTTAATTTCCTTGCTCGAAAGGTCTTTATGACTTTAATTTATGAACCTTCTTCGTCATAAAATACGTGATATAAATTATGCAGTCATAGTAACATCCAGATATTCGTTACATTATTACATTCCATTACTCTCTTGTACATCAATAAATAGAATTAATAATAAGAGAGCGAATTTGCTCAAAGATTTAAAATAACTATAAAATATCGTGGCAAATATTTTCCATGTACAGTATGTAATAATTTTAGGCAATTTCTTTCTACCATATCGTCTGTAACATTCCAAATTTATAATTATTGGTAAAAACTATGCTAATTACTACACCGTTCCAAAGAAAATAAACTAGTAAAATCTAATTCTAACTCTATTAACATATATTGTATCATCGAGTAATTTTATACTACATATACTTCGTAAGTTAATAATGATATTTAATATATCATTTAAATTACGTAACGGTAAATTTTGTATCGTAGTTGGTTTGAGACAAAACGATCTGATACAGAAGTATTAAATTGCTATAAGATATTAAGTTACGAAGATTTAGAATCTCGACGAATTTTCCTAAGGCTATAGCGATGTCTTCTAGAACCCTTATGAGCTAATAAATAAATTCATTGAATGAACATTTTATCGTGATAAGATAGTATAACATGTATTAAATATATCATACACCTGCTCTAATTCTTATTCAAATACTGTACCTATCCAAGATTTCTCTCCTATTACAGTAACATTACATAAATCACACGTGAATCGTTGTAATCTGTTACTGATCTCCGAGTAACCTGTATATTTCCTTACTGGTGATTCTGTAGGTGTTTTACCCTACAAAAGAATTAATTCACATTCAGTAAGTATTGTTTGATAAGCAACAAATGCTTGATTGTAGCGTAACGTCTGTAGTTTATTCAAATAATAGAATGCAAATTGTACTTCGATCAGAGCTTTGGTAATAGAGACTGATCTCTCCAATATTTCAGATTTCAAACTATTAGGGGTAACATCAAATGAATAAATTGCTGGTACATTATCGGATGGTCCTAAAGATATTAATTCAAATAAAAAATATTTTTCACTTAAAAAAATTTCATCGATTATAATTATAAACTATAAATAATTACCTAACATAATCTTTTTACAGTATATAAGTACAGTAGCTACATCATGAACAACTTTGTTATTAAAGTCTAGAATATACTAACTTCTATAAAATCGATTTTCTATCCATTTTCTCTAAAATGAAATTGATACGCGAGATTATATTTTCAATTCCAAAAAAATACTTTGTAACGGACCGACTTCGCATAAACACATGTATGCCTGCTTATATTATATCTGTCATATATACGAATTTTAAATTATTTTATATAAATTAGAGCATTACCTGAATCTTTGAGTACCGCTTAGTTGCTTGTTTAAACATTAAGATACATTCATCCAATACTTTCCGGTGGGGATTATTATGGTCTGTTGTTACAATATTTATCACTAACCGTACTTTGATACACATACATATAATCACTACTATATGGTATAGGTAATGCGATTTTCAACCAATGATATTTTCTTAGAATACAGCTTAAGGTGTGGTCAAAAATTGCAATAAATCGACGCCTTAACAAGCCAACAAACCTTTTGTATCTAAAGAGCATTCTTCTTTTTCTATAAGTTGAAGGTATGGCATAAACTGCTTAAAGCCGATACTTTGAAATAAGCCTATTTCAGTATTGACCGGCCTAGCGTAAAGGTAAAAGTAAAATAGCAATATCAGTTGTAGCGAAATATCTGCCATATAAGTTATCAACACAAATGAACTTGTTACTATACGTATTTGGGATATAGTGTGAAATACTACATATCGTATAATATAATACAGGACATAGGTCAACATCATTCAAAATAGTAGCACAATGTAAGCTAGGTACTGCTAGTCAGAAAGTGAAATAATCAATGAAACCCACACATAACAACTTAATTAATTATAACACCAGCGCTTACGATCTGCTGAATATAATTATCGTTACTTACCTACTGCCCGAATGTACTTGCCAATCCTGATAAAAAGTATACAGTTCCCGTAGAAGGCCTTTTTCAATCATTTCATCACATCTCGCATCTAATTTTTGATCTAAAACTAACAGGATTGATGAATGACAAGCCTCAAGTTTGCTTTCATAGAATCTAGTTTAATATAGAAGTAAGTATCTGAAGAGATCAACATGAATCACAGCTGAATTATAATGCGTATCTATACGAAGTTCTGCATATGGCTATCAGACAATACCAGTTAGATCACTTTTAATATTTGCATATTACCATTTTGATCGCATTCCAATAAAAATATAGCAGCAGATGAAAATCTTAACGGTCCTGAATAGAAACTTCCACCAGGTTGTTGTCGCTGACGTTCTATGTAGCTACTATGTTTGACTTGATTCCTTTTTATAATTTCTAAACTTCTATTGTTACATTAAGAAGATTCAGCACATACTGTGGTTTACAATATCTTAATAGATTCACCAATATTGGACAGAAAGCTTCTATCAGTTATACATCAATGTTCGTACCGTAAAATTTTTCTAGTGTCATTTGGATGTAACATTGCAGCTCTTTCAGGATCTAATAATTTCAATTCTTCGTACGAGTTTGCAGATTTTTTTTCGGTATCATCAGATAAAGGTTTATTTTGATAATCATTGGCATTAGTTTCATCTGCTGATATATTCTCCTTAAAAGCCAGTTATGGAGATCGTACAGTAAACAGTTACTGGTAATATACATAATTCGAGTGTTTATATTACGCGTATTTATCGATTTTCCCGATTGTGAATCTGAAGCATTTTAAATCTATTAAATCTAATACTTTCTACTGTGTATATTATGGTATTACATATACAGTATAAGTATATATATAAACATCTAAAAGCGAAAAGTTACTTCAATAGATCACTTACTTCCTTTATTAAATAATCCCACAATAATGCTTCGATATAATAATTAGTACCACCAACCACTATGGGCAATTTTTGACGCTTCATTATATCTTCAATATATTAATAGTAAAGGAAATGTCCGCAGGGGTATAAAACTAAGATTAATGATTGCAGTGATCATGAGGTCCATGAAATTAAGAAATGTAATCGTTTATATTATTTCGGTAGCTTGTTCAGTAATATTAATCAAACAATAATAAAAAAATTTATCTTAGGCCTATATACAGTGGTATTTAATATAAGAGAGGTCGAGAAATTTTACTACAATTGAGAAAGACTACAGTAACAATAACTTTAAAGATAATAACTATGTGTATGATTTCTTCTTTACATGCATAAACAAAAAACTAACATGTGCACAAGTATAATCAAGTAAAGGATATAATAGGGAGTGTTTTATCCCTAAATGAGACTACTGTAGAATATTCCGTTGGATGAATGTAGTCCATGCAGTGATGATTACATAACATTCTATCTTCTTTGCTAACTTTATTCGTAAGAATATCCAATCCCTGATAAACCTATAAATAAGAGAAAAATTTTGTCACTTGTTAGGTTGTTGCTGAATATTATTATTAGTAAGTAAAGATAATTTTTAGCGCTTAATTGAGATTTTTAGTTGCCAAACACGGTAGTAGGCTTAGGGTTACTTGAAGAACTTCTGAAGACATGTAAGCACGTTCTTACATTCGTACTCGTTAACTGTACTGCACCTTAGAGTTGTGTGAAATACTAGTTTACTACATAAGTACAAAATGAAAAACTGTAAATGTCACATTCTAAAATAACGTACGTCTTGCAATGGTTTAATGCAAGACGATAGAGTGATAGAGTACTTCTTGAATTAGTCGCCAAGATCTAAACTAGACAGTACAATAAGTACACCTGTTTACTGTAGCCAGATACTCGTCAAGTATCATACGTATATATATATTATATGTCATACACAATTTCAACTGTAAATTGAGCACAGCTGCTGGATTACTCAATCCTAGGATATAGTCGTCTGTGGTACAGTATCATCATCTCAAATATCATGTAAACAGCAAAAAAAAGATGTAAAAGCTGACCGATTACAGCGATTTAAAAGTAGCTAAGATACAAATGTTTCATATTTTGTTCTAGCAATGGATGTATGCTTTGATTTAAGCCATTAATTAACTAATTCGACAAGAGATTTGTTTAGTGCAATACTGTCCAAGTTTGGTGTTATCCGTTTTCAAATGCAATTCCTTTAGACTCAATATACTTGCTATTCATTGACATCGACGAATTGTACTCCATACCATTACACTATCATATGGAAGATAGACTAATCAAAGAGTATCAATCTTTTAATTCCAGTATCGTATTCCTATAAAGAACTGTTTATTATTTTCAATTCACTATCGATTAATAATCTTTCACTGAGAATAAAATGTACGTAGTTACTATAACCTGCATCGAATCTGCACTAATAATCTCTCCATTTAGTTCACAGGCTAGCTTTAAACCCAGAGAGGATTTGCCAGTGCCAGTAGCTCCCATAATGAATATTATAGGCCTACGAGTAGACAATATTTTGCATGTATTGCTCATTACTCTGCGTAATAACATCAAGGGACGCAAAATTTCAATTTGCTTCGCGTTGATTTGATTGATAATAATGAATTCTCTTCGTATTTCAACTCTTCATGAGTCGGATACAAGATGATTTAGTGGTATAATATCGTGTTGAGGAAGCTCAGCAGTCTCGGCTTGACATAGGAAGGAAATTAGTTCACGACTTCAGTACTCGTATATCTCATTTTGCAGCAGTTGCTTACTGTAAATGTTTCTAGTTACTCTAGACTGAGTTTTACATTGCGCATGTTTCACTATGCGTAGTATAGTACTGTATCACCAGTACAATACACTACCGTACAGCAATGTATTATACAAATCTCTGCGACTTTGGATTGGATTTATTGCACCTATTCGCTTGAAGAGAATGAATAAAATGGTTGGCTACATAGCGGACAGGAAATAACCCTTTACTAAAATGACTAGGCCGACTATTCTACTGATCATTTGAAGTATATAATATGTCTGCAGCCGTACACCGTACTGTCTAAGGTTATCTGAATAAGCGGCTAGGTTAATGTGCACCTTAGTTTGTACCGTGCACAGTTTCAATGAGACAATATAGGAAAATGGCCAGAATAGGACTGTCATAAAACTATCAGTCCGTTCTGTTAAGTTCTCAAATTTCCTTTTTTATTTCGTTAACCCAATTTGAAGTATACTATCACCACATGCATCAACAACATACCATGAAGAAACTATAATGACTGAACTACATCTACCTTCAAATAAACATCGTGCTGTCAGAATGAGAGTTTTGATAATATTAATTCATATTATATTCAGTCATGGACTTCGAAGTGGAAATTCTCGGTAAGAAGTTGATGCAATATATACTGGAACATAAATACGCTAACATTTCATCACTGCAAGCATAAAATACTGTAACTTTATAATCACATCCATACTTGAGATTATAAACTGCATGGATATCATGCTAAATATATTTTTTATTATCACATAATCCAATGAGTATATTATAATACGTCTCTGAGCTTTCTGCTAAAGCATCAATTTATAGTAATACTTAGGCTAAAATCGTGCTATGCTAAAGTCTTGCTATATTTTGATGAGTATCCATGCATTATATAGTATAACATACATTAATACGATGAAAAAATTTTTCCTTCAAGTGTAAAAATAATACTTTGGCTAATTTCACCTAACGATTAACTATTCGATTACCTTTACCAGTAACTAAGAAGCAATATCAGTTTAGTTAGGCTAGCATTATCCAATTCGAGATTAGAAACGCTATCATTATTTATCCAGTATTATCAGACATAAAAAGACCTTGCAGACCAGATAGGAAAAAAAGCTACAGAGTATTCCTCAAACAGGACAATGAAATATAGCAGCGAAATAGCTGCACCAAAGTATTTCCCTTCTAGAATTAGTGGTCGGTATACGCGTCTAGGTATATATCCGTTTAACTATCTGTATACTAAACTATCTCGATTTTAATGTTACAGATTAATAATGAAGATTGTAGTGCCGTAAGAAATTTAAATGAAATGAAATGCTCTCTATCATTTATTAATTTATCCCGTTATAAGTTCAAAATCGTCATGACGTTCATTTGGTGGTATCATACAGTTAATCTTTATCTTGGTACGTGTAAGCCAACAAATCGTTCTACAACTCTATAGCTAAAACTACTGGTATCAAGATCACCTATCTGAAAGAAGCATTAGCAATGATTCCATTTTCAATTAATATAAATTTAATTCAGCTCGATATTTCATTCTCTGTATCATAAATTAACAAATTCAAAAAGGACTAGGTATTGCGTGATGCTATTTCAAAACTGCAATATATAAATGCTTTTATCATGCAGCTATTCAACCTCAGATTGGCGAATTTATCGGAGACTTAAGAATTTTTTAGAGTATAGAAAGAAATACATAGCTTAATACCGATAATAAATTTTCCAGCTTCAGATTACCGGTACACATCAACATCTCTCAATTGCTTATTTTGAAAATTGAAATGAACTTCTAATCTCTTGTAGTAGCTTCAATACTTCGATTCCAGTTAATAATGATGTACTACAAACTAGTAAGTATTAATAACCCGCATACCCTATACTGTAAGCCTATTCTCATTGCATAAACTTGAAAATGTAAATATATATATCTATATTATTTAAGGAAGACATAGAATGACGATTTTCCTATGATCACACCATTTTAAGTAAAACTATTCTCATAAATAAATTAACTATCTATACAAAATCTTACTTAAACTATCCTAATAATATCATATGACTCAAAACGAATTTAATGTACGAAACATACGTTTATAGTATGTGCAACAAGTTGAGAACTTAAACCAATAACATGTTATTTTAAGAGATTATAGAGCTTTGAATTGTTTTTGTCATATTTAGAAAGAGATTATAGGATTGTTGCAATAGCAATACAGTTCATTTAGTATATTAAGAAGAAAACCTCTGCAATTAATATGCTTCTATGCTATCACCAGTTTTAAATACATATAACTTTATAGAGTTACTATTCTCTTAATTCAATATGTATCTTCCTGAGGTCGTAATTGCGTCCTAGGCAAATTTTTGGAATCATAAAATTTTTGTTTAATAGATGCTACATCTATGTAGGTGCGCTATTAAAAATGTAACTATCCAAGTTACCAATATATCAGTCAAGATAGAATAATTTCTAAAATTTTGTAGCACTACAGACCATTGTTCATATATAAGAAATTATTATGACCTCAACTGTTTCATGTATGCCGCACAAAGAATATATATTTATATATTATCCTCATAGTTTATAATGACATCCTAGTTCAACTTATGTAGCAATGTACGCAGTATAAAAAATTGACGACAGTTATTATTGTAAATACCCGTATTTTACCTAGTAAATATATTAAATTAATTTTCTGTTAGTAATATATGTATGCGTGTTACGGATTTGCTTTACCGTAAATAAATGTAGATATTTTTGTATGTTAAGAGTAACTTTGATCTAATACCATTGTCAATATTATTATAGATGTAAAACTGTGATGCTAAATCGTTAATGGATTCCCATCAACGACGGTGAGGCTTTTAGATGATGATGAGATGTAAGCTGATTACAATAAGAATCAATTGTTTTGTACAGGAAAGCTTGGTAAATGAATAAAAGAGGATGCATTTATAAATATAGGAGAGATTTAATTGAAGTTACTGAGTAGAGTACGCTATCATCGATAAAGATCACATTAAATAGTTACCAAAAAGCTTCTTGTCTGTGACTTACTGTTGCTTAAGGTCATACACTAGGTTAGTGAAGTTAGTGACGCTTAGTCGTAGGGATACAGTGCGATAGAAACTAACGGTAGTAAATTATGGAGTTAAATATCGCAAACGTGGTTGTAACAATGCGATATTAAAATGCTATCCTTGCTGTTTTATAATGATATAACCTCGTTCAACT